TGCGAAGTGGCAATAGAAGTCTTCTTGTCGATATGGAGTTTAACTCAGCATACGGCCTCGGACAGAGCACCCATTAAATTAAAAAAGTAAATAAAAGTAAATAAGTAACGTGTAAGAAAAAGTAAACCTGATACAGTAAAGAAAATAAAAATATGATTTAACCTGTTAACATGACGCTCATATAGCACAGTGCGCACAGTTTTGTGTTGTCCGAATCAAACTCATGACGAGTATATTCGTCAATCACAGAGTAAGTTGCGCTAGTAAGATGCTGGATACAAATTTTGGAATTATTTTACAAAATTCAGCAGTGTTATTAATATATTTTACTTCTTTGTAAACCTAATCATATTCTACAAGCGTATTAAACTAATGGACCAGTTCTGCCGTAAAATAGACCAATGTTATGACAAAGCTATGTCGCGCTGGGTTTTTCATATAAAATGGTACTAAAAACTGTCAAAGTGCTATGTATTTGCTGTACGACCAGGCGTTTTACACATAAAATCTAACTTTTTGCATGTATTATTATGACACATCAGAAAGATGCACTTATGATAAAGGGGCGTTCATTAATCACGTAAGGTTTTTAGGGGGTGGGGGGGTTTGACAACAAATCACAAAATATCACGTGGGGAGGTAGGGGTATTGTAAGATATCACGTGCATTTAGTTCTTAACTAATTCTTTTAAAAAAGTTCAAACATTTTCAAAAAAAAAGTCAAAAATTGTACAGTTTTCTCACGTAACTAAAAATACGGGGAAGGGGGGGGGGTTAATTTTGAATAACACCATGGATCATCAAAGGGGAGGAGGGTCCAAAAATGCTTAAAAACTCGCTCACGTGATTAATGGACGCCCCCTAAGTTTCTTTTTTTGGCGTTTGTACGTTTTCTAAGTTAGGTTGTATATCTAAAATGCTTGATTGCATAGCAACCACGTAGAATTTTGACATTATACTGTACCAATTTATATGAAACATGCAGGTAGGATAGCCTTGCCATAACATGGGTTTATTTTGCGGCAGAATTTCGATTACATTCCATGAAATATTACATACGTAAATTTAAAGAAAAGAAAGTTGTAAGCTTTTTATGAAAAGCAAAAACTATTTTCAAAACTTACATTAGCAAAAATTATTTAAATAGCATAATCCTAATTATTATTTATTAAGTATATTTTTTACACTTATCGGGAAATTCAGGCAACTTGCCTTAAGGTAAAGTGACACAACAACTTATTTTATACAGCCATAGCCTTTATGAATTCTAAACAACATGATTTATCAGAATATATTTTGTTAACATCCTATATGGTAAACTAAAGTAATCTAATAAAAAAATCAAAAATATTTTTTTGCATATTTTTACGTTTCTAGGTCGTTTGAACAGTTTGGCATATCTTAGAAAAAAATGATGTATGAATAAATGTGTGTGCGCGGATATAATTTGTCGTCGACGATTTTGAGAGCACTGATAAACCGATTTGAAGAATTCAAAAAACATGTGATTCCTGTGAATAGGGAGACGTGCTGATTAGTTTTTGTCAAAGGCAGTTTCAACCGTTACGAAGGCTCGGCTGGTCCTGCAAAAAATGGCATGTCAATTTTTGAGAGAACGAAGCATCCGATTTGATATATTCAAAAAACATTTCACTGGCAAAGAGATAAAGATTGACCAAATTATTGGTAAGGCAGTTCCACGGTTTCGGAGATCCAATAAAACACGTTTCAAAAAATGGCATTTGGCGGTCAAAAATGATCATTAGACATATGCATATCGAATTACCAGATATTTCATAGATTTTAATAATAAGCATAAATTTTGTTTGCATTTCATATCATGGGTTTCATATCACGATTTATAATTTACTGTCAAAATAGCTAAAGCTAAACCAGGCAAAAATGCGCGTAAAAGCGCAATCGCCCTAAAAAAATCTAAATTTTTTAAAAATGATTAAAAAAGTCAAAAATTTTCTCATGTTTTTCAAAAAAGTTCAAAAAGTACTTTTTCTTACAAGTTCATCAAATGTGTTCTGTATTTACAAAAAAAAATTTTAACTTCCCGTAGGGCAAGTTATAGTAATCGCAAAAAAATCGAAAATGAAAATTTTTGCATTTCTCGACGTTTCAAAGGTTTCTGAATATTTTGGCATACCTTAGAAAAAATAGATGTATGTGTGTATGTGTGTGTGTATGTATGTATGTACGTGTGTGTATGTATGTGCGGATACAAATTTTCGTCGACGATTTCGGGAACACGGAGCAACCGATTTTAATAATTCAAAAAGCATTCGATTCGTTTTGATAAGGAGACGTGCTGATTAGTTTTTGGCGAAGGCCGGTCCAGCCGTTCCAATGATACGGGGCAAAAAGTGCCGAAAACGGTAACTCAGTTTTTAAGAGAACGGAGCGTCCGATTTTAATAATTCAAAAAACATTTGACTTGTATTGACAAGATGAGGAATTGATCAAATTTTCATGAGGGCAGGTCTAGCGGTTTCGTAGATCTAACGAAAAAAGTAAAAAAAAAAGCCATTTGGCGGTCAAAAATGATCATTAGACATATGCACATCAAATTATCAGATATTTTATAGAGATTTTAACAATAAGTATAAATTTTATTTGCATTCCTATGGGTTCCGTACCAATGTTTATTCGTTAGACGGCGACGCGGCGCTTACGCGCTTTGACATTTTGTCTCTATGCAGTTAAAGCAGACGATTGCTTTGAAAAAAGATCTTCCAAAATATGCCAAAATAAAGAAAACATTATTTTTTCAAAAAAAAAATTAAAAAAAAAAAAATTAAATTTTTTTTTCAAAAAAAAGTAATTTTTTGTTTAATTTATAGTTTCTCAAAAATCTTATTTTTTTGAAGTAAATTTTTCTAAAAATGTCAATCGTTTTTTAAAAAATAATAATTTTTGGTACGGGAAGTTCCAGCAATTTGCCTTAAGGCACGATGCCTTAATTGCCTTAAGAGAGAATTCCACTTACAGCTAGTTTTTTAATAGTGTTAAATTGCGGTACGGGAAGTTCTGGGAATTTGCCAAGGCACGCTGCAATGAACCATTAATTTGTTTTTCAAAAAATTGAATTTGAATAAAAAATGGTCACTGTTTTGTACGCATGACGAATATCGTCGTCAATATACAAATTTGTGCCACTTCTTCATGACGAGTATTTTCGCCATTTAACTGGTTCAATAAGAAAGACGAATCAAGTTAAAATATGAGAAAAGAATGAGATAAAATATATCTGCAGATATTGTTAGAATTCAGAGGCACTATCGAGCAAGTCCTAAATGCTCGTGTAACGCATTCGTTTTCGATACGTTATATGGATGGCTTGCATAATAAAATTATTTGTGCAGTCTGTCTGTACGGATGTCTGCATTTAAAAGGCGTTCGTTTCAAGTAAGCGGCGGTTCGTATCTCGGTGATTATTTTTGTGTGCGTTTTCCGTATACACGAACTATGCATTTGTAGGAATATGATAGCCCGGTCAAAATAAAGCCAAAGAAGTCGAACATCAGAATAATTCGCATAGAGCTGAAAATTTGTACAGACGTTAAATAATTTTTATTTGATAGTTCTGATAGTTTCCACAAAATTTTGCACCTCTGAGCTTGTTGGGGACTTTTGACATTTGATTTGTAATGACTTATTAGCTTCCCATAGGGTAAGTTATAGTAATAGCGCTTTTGATATTTTGTTTTTAATACAGCGACGCAAAAAAGTTCAACATTTTCAAAAAAATTTAAAATTTACAAAAATAGTCCAATTATTTAAAAAAATATCTCAAAAATCTAATTTTTCAGTTTTTAAACAAATCTAAAGCGTTTGTAAAAGTTTTAATTTTTGGTACGGAAATTATCAGCAACTTGCCTTATGACCACAATGCCATGCCCCACTAGTTAACTTCCCATATGTTAAGTTATAGTAATCGCAAAAAAATCGAAAATTAAAATTTTTATGTATCTTTACGTTTCAGAGGTTTTTGAACATTTTGGCATACCTCAGAAAAAATAGATGTGTGCGTGCATTAGTGAGTGCGGATACAATTTTTTGTCGACGATTTTGTGAACACGGATCAACCGATTTGAATAATTCAAAAAACATTTGATTCCTACTAGTTTTTGGCAGAGGCAGGTCTAGCTGTTCCGAAGATACGAGGCAAAAAGTGCCAAAACTGGTATTTCAGTTTTTGAGATAACGGAGCGTCCGATTTAAATAATTCAAAAAACATTTTACTTGTATTGACGAAATAAACAATTGGTGAAATTTTTGTAAAAGCAGGCCAGCGTCTTTGGAAAACCAATAAAAAAATAAAAATAATGACATTTGGCTGTCAAAAATGAACACAAAAATGAATTAGACATATGTACATCGTATTATCAGATAGTTTATAAATATTATAATAATAAGTACAAATTTTGTGTACATTTATATGGGTTCCGTACCAATGTTTACGTGTTAGACGAATACGCGGCGCTTACGCGCTTTGATATTTCGACTCTAAATCAGCTATGCAGCGCCATTGCCTAAATAAAATGTTCACAATTTTCAAAAAAAAATCAAAATACAAAAAAATCAAAATACAAAAAAATCAAATTTTTCAAAAAAGTCAATTATTTTTAAAAATGTCAAAATTTCCCAAAAATCTATTTTTTTTTTCAAAGTTTTGCAAAGTTTTTTTTTTTAAATTTAGCTTTCGGAACGGAAAGTTTCAGCAATTCGCCTTAAGGCGCAATGCCATACACCACTAGTTTAACGTCTATATCAATCTCCAGGTCTATGCGAAATATGCCGATGTTGAATGTCTATTTTGACTGGCCTATGAGTTCGTTCTCGGTGCCACAGTTCGGCTGTGTGAAGTGGTCTGACGGCGCTGGAACGCGCTGTGCTTTGGCTCGTACGCTTGCGTGTGTTCGTGCCGTGTTTGCGTGTGTAAAGCCTGTCAATTCTCGAACGCCAGCCAGTTGTTATGCGATCGCCGTACGGTGTGGCTGCGCCGGTACTTTTGTCGAAATTTACGAGAACGTGCTGTAGACAAATTTTAATTGCGTGTTTTTTAACATACGAATCGGTGTAATTGCTATTCGTGATCAGTTTTTAAAATTGTATGATTTTTAAATTAGTTGTTTGTGTTAGTACTAAACGTTTTTAAGCAGTGCTGTGTGGTTAGTGTTGCATCGCCGCCGGCCGCTCTTCAGCACAGAATTTGATCGACAAGGAATGTTATCCAGCATCGGTCCTGTGCCGTTCTAAACATTTCTAAAGTGACTTGATTTAATTTGATCAGGAGTTGTAATTTGAAGTTTGTGCGGTGGAAGTGTGTGATTCTACACCGCGTGATGGTATCATATCGCAGTTCTTAGTATTTTACTAAAGCGATTATTGGTGAGTGATTAATAAAAGTGATGATTCATTGTAATGCGACAGTGTACTACAAGTGTTTGTGTTATAAAACATCATTTTTGTATGTGGAGCTACATATATCTGACCGTGAGGAGTACAGGTGTGGGCAATATTGCTTTTTGTTGTTTATTATTCTGTTGTAGCGTTCATGTTATTTTATTTTTTCGAACGAGAAAACCGGTTGCGCGATATCGTGCCTTGGCCTGCGACTGTGGTGGTGTTTTCGTTGATACTCTCGAGAGTTTAATTTCTATTACACAACTGCACTTACTTGTGCGGTCCATTTGTACATTCAAGATATATGCGACACCTGAATTCCCATATATTGTCATACCAGGGCAGAAATATAGCCTAGGAGGCATTGTAATAAATTACCTGTGCGACGACCGTTTTTAAGCAGACGAGCATTTTGGCACGCCTGGAATATTAACCGATCGCTCTTGTCATAGGGATACTA